GATATTAGCATGTCCACTCCCAGAGTACCCATTATGATGAGGGTGGGCGTGTTGAGGATGATGATCCGCGCCGGGCCGCACAAGCACTTCCGGAACCTCGAAGCTCACCTGCGCGCAAAGTTACAGTAGAATCAGAGCATAGCAAGAAGTATCAATAGTAAAAATACAAGTAGAGCTCCTCGTAAGAATCGTGTGCGCACACGTGTGCAGTTACCTCAATCGTTTGGTTAACTTCGTTCATAATGGATAAGAAGGTATATTTATCATCTTGATATTCTACAACGGTGGCCAGATGGCTTGGCTCCACAACTAGAGCGTGGCCAATTTGGACCCACGCCACCTTTTTCATGTCCCAGCATCCGTAGCCTGACCTGAATTTATAGTCCGGTCAGCGAACTAACCCTCATATCCAAGTCTATAACGGCCCCACGGCGTGTGCAGCTAACTCCAGTCCACAGTGACGCTTCCACAGTGGCGCAATAACATGGTGTAGTTACAGTGGAGTAATTGTCGTGGTAGTTACAATGGTCGGTTACAATGGTTCGGTTACAGTGGTTCGCCAATTTGGCAGTGGTTCGGTTACAGTGGCTCAACTTCTATGAATCTTCTACATATCTATCGTTGAAGGATTGTAGCCCTTTGAATAAATGCTTTCGTGAGTTGAACGTTTTCATCCAGGTTATCACCTGAAAGAAATTGGAAGAACGGGCTGTTGATATTATTGAATCTGAAGAATGTATTGGGCGTCTTGGAGAACTTGAATTCATTTTTAGATTTGGATTTAGCTTGAAAAGAGACCACACGGGCAACAAATTCGGGCAAGTGGTATTTTTGTTGTATTCGACGTAAGAAACGGGACACGGCGTTGGACGAGTGGGGGATGTCCGCAGCCAGGACGGCTCCACGTGAGGCGCGAATGAGTCTCTCGATTTCTCGTTCCAGATCATCCCGAATCAAGTTTTTATGTCGCGCACCAGACAAGTCTCGTTTGGTTATCAGGACGCAGAGAGCAGGGGGTGTTCGTTGCCATTGCGGCAGACACATGAGTTCGAATAGGTACGAGGCCGCTTCCTTCATCTTCCCGACGTCCGTGCTGTCTAAGCAAAACACGAAAGCGCTGACGGACGGCCCCGCGATTTTCTCGAGCGTGTGTGTGAATACAGAACTAAGAAGGTTGGACACGTAATGGCTGATGCCCAAGACCCCGTTCAATGCCGCACTTCCACCCCATTCCGCATCATGAGCCGTCGATTGCTTCGTAGTATAGGTGGCAAATCCGTCCAGATTGCCTTTGCCAATGCTGGTCATCCCGTAGACCTGCAAACTCTTCTGCAAACTCTCCCGACACTGCTCCTGCGTCATGAGCTGCTCTACCTGCTGGGAAACAGGAAAAGAAAGGAGGGTAGCAGTCAGCTCCACGTCCCGTGACCA